CTTGCTCAGACAAGTCAACCCAGATGTCGAGAAAGTTGAGGTGGTTTTAATGTTTTTTGTGTTTGTGTGTTTGTGCTTTAAAAGCACAGTTGTGATTTTTCTCTTGGTTTATCTTTTGTAAAGCACTTTGAGCTGCTGCTTTTTCCCCACAACAAACTGATATATAAATTTTATGAAGTGAAATAAACAAACTCCCCAGAGTGTTTCCCCCTCACCAGCCTCCTGGGATTCTTGGCAGGCTGAGGGGGTTTATTACCCGCCCTCCCCACTAGCAAAAAGTGGTTTTAAAATGGTGTCTGGTCTGCTGCTCTGCTGGCTGACGCTGCCTCCCAGTCTCATCAAGGGGTGCAAAGGGGGCTAATGGAGGTTGTGTCAATCCCTCAGGAGGACTGTGGTGGATAAAGTCAGGACCCACCATGGGGGTGTTACCGGAAAAATCCGAGGGCTCCCTACTGAACGCCTGCGCTGTGCAGTGCCAGATCGGGGTCCGAGAAAACAAAGTTTTGAAAGGAAGCAAATGACCTTGCGTTAAAATACTTTTGAAAGACGCCACCGGACGACTCCGAGGGAAGACGTCAGAGAAATGACAAAGTGCCGCGTTTTCCCAGATTGCGTTCCACGACGGAAAACGGGGGAGAAAAGGAGAGAGAGATTAAGACGTTCCTGGACGACTCCGAGAGGTAACGTCGGAAAACAGTAAAAGTACCACAATTTCCCGGCCACATTCCGAAAAAGAAATTGGGGGAGAAAAGGGAAAGTTTTAGATGTTCCTGGACGACTCCGAAAGGTAACGTCAGAAATGAAAGGAGGAAAGTCTGGCTGTCGTGGGGACGTTCCTTTTCCACCCCCCTCCCAATGTATTTACTTCAAACCATACTCACATTCGAAGATGTCCCCCGCGGATCCTGGGATCCTTTTCTTTTTAGCCGGCTTGACCTCGCCTTTGCTTCCCCTGGTTGAGCTTTTGGTGACGATTGATTACCGCCCGCAAAGAGGAGGCAGGGAGAGGAAGAAGGATCCCTGGGCTAAGGTTGCCCAGTGGTGCCCGATCCCCTTTATCTCCCTCCTCACCTTTGCAGGAGAACCAAGTGTCCCTGAGCGCGGTCGCCAACTGTTACCGGAAAAATCCGAGGGCTCCCTTGGATAAAACAAAGATACCAACCAGGATAACTTGGAGCAAAACAGCAGCCTGTAGGCTTGGCCTTTATTGAACTGATGCATCAGGGTGTTCCCTTCACTTGCAAGAGAGAGGAAAGACCCAGAAAGATGGTCTGCAAGACCTTATAAAAACTTTTGAAATTCCCCTCCTCTAGGTCAAGCCCACCCCCAGAAAACATCATGCATACATTGCAGAAAGGAGGGGTTGAGGGAGGAGTTGGTGGTGGTAACCTGAGTGTCCTGTCACCTGGCTGGTTCCTCCTTTCCCCCTCCCATGAGTCACTTCCAGGAGACAAAGGGGAGTTGGCAGTTTCCTGCCCCCAGAGGGGAGATCTGATTATTGTCCTTTGTTTCAGTCCATGCTGAATCCACTCCCATATGCAAGTTCTTTGTGATCCTGATTGTCTTCTGTCTGGGATCATCAGGGTTGGCATAGCAACTGGGCAGGGCTCCTGTGGATGTGCTGAGATGGTGAAGGGATTATGGCTGACCAGAACCAAGCCACCCCCCCTTTGATAGTCCTTGTCATATGGAGTAAAATAAAAATGGAACAGTGCAAATCCGATGTATGGTTGATTTTCTATGAATTTATAACAGAAATGTGGCGTATGTAGTGTGTGAGGGTGAGTGTGTGTGAAGTTTGTACAAACAGAATGATTGAGGTGGGGGGGTTCCTGCTACAGGGGGCACGGGGTCTCCTTCCTCCTTGCTTCCCAGCCCCCAAATGCTGGGGTTTGGGGCCAAGGAGTGGGGCTGGGGGGGTTGTGGAGGTGCCATCACTTCAGGGGGGTCGTGAGGTGTGGCAGGTGGGGGTTTCATCTGGACATCCATCGTGTTTCCCTCTGAGTCCTGAGGGGACACTAGAAATTCCCCAGACCTTGGTAAATCTTGAGATTTCCTGTCAGTTTCCCCCAGAAACAACAAATGGGGCTGAGGAGTCGGGGGGGGGGAATCCTGGAGAGTTTCTGTGGAGAAAAGGGCGGATATTTTTTTCTCCTCAGAACACGCAGGGAAATTTCTGAGGAACCTGGTCAGAGACAAGGGAGTCTCCCTCCGCCTGAGGTGTTTCCCGCTCTTTTCTCCCGAGGGAGCCCAAACATGAGGAGAAAATGGCTTCCCTGTGGAGATTGGCATCCTTCCCTCCTCAGAGCCTGAAGGGTCAAGGAAGGGATGCCAAGGGGGGCAACGGACTCCATGTTCCCTCCTCCAAGGGGCCCAAAGTCAGATAAATGGAGGAACAGAAAATTCCCTCAGGAGTTTTAGTCACAGGAGGATTCAAAACATGTTATTTTCCTCCCCCTGAAAAGTTCACGTTTGTGGAAACACTGGAAAAGGCATTTGGCTCTCCTGAATAGCTAGTCTGAAATCAAATTCATAATGAATCACCTCAGGAGACCACGCAGTGTGTGGAGGGTTTTCCCAGGGAAAAATGGCTCCCAAATCAGTTCCCCTTTGATGGCTGACACACAGACTGGATTGAAACAGACGTTTCTTTCTTGTATTAGGATGTTTGTGTGGTAAACCACCTTGGGGTGTTGAACTGGTTACATTAAAAGGCCTTAAAGAAGTCAATAACCCAAAGGTGGGGAATGTTGGAAGTATGACTGAAGGTCACCTTCTTTCAGGTGAAGTTGTGTGGAAATGGGCAGATGAACCCTTTTCCTTACACCCAGGATTGTCAAGTGTGGCGCTCCTTGAATGTTGAAATCTAAAAGAAATAAAATAGTTCAAGGACCACAGAGGGAAGCTGAAGAAAATCTTCACTGGTGCGATTCAGGGGAAATACTCTCAAGGCTGTGAAATCTGCCTTGAAGTGGGTCAGGTGAGGATCCCAGTCAGAGGACTGATCCTTAAGATCACAAAAGAGCAGGATATTTACAGAGAAATTAACAAACTACTCCCCCTGAGGAGATAAAGCCAGAAGGGTGAGGGTGGGGAGCAGGGACTATCTCCAAAAACGGGACTCATCCTCCATGTCACAGGGCTGTGGGAAGAAATATATCTGGCCATTCACCATTTTACAGAATCGCAGAGAAGGGACCCCAAGGTCATCTAGCCCAACCTCCTGCAATGAGGAATCTCAAGGATCAGGGTCCCCATCAGGGCTTGAAGGACCAGTCCTGGCAGTCTGACCAGATTCATGGTTGTTTTCAGGGACAGCTCAGGCTCCTCCAGGGAGATTCAAGGCACAAATTCTCTAGCAGAGAGGTGCAAAGAAGGAATCAGGTTGCCATAACTTGCAATCAACAAGCGGAAAGGGAAAGACAAAAAGAAACTTTCCCCAAATGACAAGCAAGCAACAGAGGTGGGGGAGGGGTGGACACTGTCGTTCTTGATCTGTGACTCCTTCCATCCACCTTCCAAGGAGGTTTCCACCCTCTGAGCAAGGACAGAGGGCAACTGGCAGGAAGAACAGAGCTTCTCCACATCCCAGGATCCTGATGGAGCAGCGAAGTCTAACTGATGAGTCCTGCAGGCAGAGGAGAGAGAGACAAGCCCATCACTGTGGGGTGAGGAATGGGGAGAAAGGGGCAGAAGAATCCCTGGGAAGATTGGGGGGACACTCCACAGAGCGGCCATCAGAGATTGTGAAGTACAATGTCGAGTGCCAGCTATACAATTCCCATCGCCTCCAGTTATGGGCCTGGCAGGGGGGCTCTGAGGAGGGAAGGAGACAGAGGGAGGGAGACTTGGCTGGCTATGACAGTGGAGAAGAGGAGCTTCAGAAGAGACCAAGGAGATCTCTCCAGATCAGAAATGGGGAACCCCGGACCCTGGACCAAATGTGGTCCCCAGGCCTCTCTTTCTGGCCCTCATGGCTCTCTCCAGACACTCCTCCTGTCCCTGCTTTGAACCCTCCAGGAGTGATTCCACCTCCCTGGGATAATCCTTGAACTCTGAGGATGCCCCTTGCTTGCCTGGACCAAGAACAGAGAGGGGCAAAAACTAGTCCACTCAGCAATACGAAAATTGGCACGTTTTTCTCCACCCCCACCTGCCCAGCAGTGGCATGTGGCCCCGGACGGAGGGGATGCAGCCTTTGGGGTGAAAGAGGACCCCCCCCCGGAATAGATGCCCTGCATTGGGCAAAAGACCTTTGTCCCCCAAGGGCGAAACACCAGCCGTGGTCTCCCCACTTGGCCTTGAACTTTGCTTGACTGTCTCCCAGGTGGGACATTCCCCTGGAGACCCCCTTCCAGGACCTGATATTGGAGTGTGTGCATCAGGGGGTGGATTTGTCCATAGGAAGCCATGGCGGGGGATAGGAAGCAGCCATGAGAAGGGGGTTGGGGGAGGAGGAGGAGGAGGATGGAAGAGCAGAGAGGAAAGTTACCTGCAGGCTGAGGAACAGTTTGCCCTGGGAGAGAGAGAAAAGAATAGAAAGATTCAGTCAGCACCAGATATCCCCTGAAATAGCTTCTCTGGGAACATGGCCCCTCCCCCGATCAAGATGACACACTCCAGGCACAGCTAGGAACTTCCCCCCTCGTTCTGTCCTATGCAGTATGAGGGGTGAAAGAAGAGTCTTTGCTAGACATAAAGATTTCCTTCCCAATACAGAAATAACCCTGGGGAACATCTTGCCAACTAACCTCTTCCCCATTGCCCAATGCCCCCACCCCACACACTCTCCCATATTCCTTCGGCTGCCTCTTTTTGGGGGGCTATGCATTGCCCAGTTGTTGATTCGGGGATTTATTTCAGACACACAAACAGCGAAAAGACCCAAGGGAGATGAATTCCGCCTCCTGGCAGTAAGTGTCTCAAAGGCCCTTCGCTTAGCAGGGAGAGAGAGCCTTTGAATAATAATAATAATTATTATTATTATTATTATTATTATTATTATTATTATTATTATTATTATTTATTATTTCTACCGCGCCCATCTGGCTGGGCTTCGCCAGTCACTCTGGGCAGCTTCCAACAAAATATTAAAATACAGTAATGCATCAAACATTAAAAGCTTCCCTAAACAGGGCTGCCTTCAGATGAATTACTAGTGCTGGGACCAGGAAGCTGCAAAACATCTGTATCCTTACTCTGCTCAAAGGCTTCAGAGCCAGAGATGCTTTTGAATTTCTCCCTCATATGTTGAATAGGAGGATTAGGTCTTCATCTACAGATTTAAACCTCAGACCATCTCCAGAATAGCTGAGGCTCCATTTGAGACACCAAGAGGGACCTCCTAGGAGTGGAGAAGGAACAGAACCCTCCCCAGAACTTCTGCCTAAGAACAAGAGGGGAACCTGGAGCCCAGTCCAGCCCCCCACCCAACCCTCCCTCTCCCCCTGGCACCCCACCCTCACCTTTCTTGTTCTTCAGGTAAAGGGCGAGTCCAGTGGCCCCAAAGACCAGCCCCAGCACAATCCCCACAATCCCCGTCCACATCTTGCTCCTGGCAGAGTCCGACTGTGGCTCTGAAGGAAGAAAAAGCCCAGAGTGAGGAACGGCAGGCCTGGGATCAGCCCCCTGAGGGAGGAGCAACCCACCCAGCCCCCCAGGAATGCCCCCCACTCCCAGTAGGAAGGCGTCCTACCCCATTTCACTGTGACGGGGCCTTCGAAGCTGGCGTGCTCCACCTGGCAGGTGTAGACGTCTCCACGTTCTGGATTTGTCTCCAGTATCAGCTCAGTATTGAAGGTCCAGTCCCCATTCTCATGATCTATGGTCCACACTTTGGGCTCCTCCTTCCCGTTCTTGAACCACTTGATATCGATCCCCGCAGGGAAGAAGCGGCTCACCTTGCAAGTCAGCTGAGTGTTGTGTGGTGAAGATGGATAGCTGTCTGAGCGGGTGATCTTCACCTTGGGCTGGACTGTGGGAGGGAGGCACGGAAGGTCAGAGATTTAGGGAGGGAGGGACCTAGGGGCTTCGAGGGAGGGAGAGGGGAAGGAGGGATCATCTCCCACCATCCCAGTGGACAGTCCAGTTAACGGGAGTAGCCAGGGTCTCAGCCCTGCGTGAAGCCTCTAGAGGGGTGCCACTGAGACTCCAGCATCTGCTGAGGACCAGAGTGATGCTAATTTGCACGGGGAAGCAGGAAAACTTGGAAAACGATCCTCTTTCCCCTTTCCCTCCCAAGCTGTTTTTGGAACTGTGTGTGAAGGAGAAATCCTGGAGAAGGTTGTTCTCCAAGAAAAGTTGAAAAGGGAAAGTTCTTTCTCTTTCTTTCTTTCTTTCTTTCTCTCTCTCTCTCTCTCTCTCTCTCTCTCTCTCTCTGCCACAGCGTTCTGTCTTGGGCCTGGTCTTATTCAACATCTTTATCAACGACTTGGATGATGGACTCAAGGGCATCCTGATCAAATTTGCAGATGACACCAAACTGGGAGGGGTGGCTAACACCCCAGAGGACAGGATCACACTTCAAAACGACCTTGGCAGATTAGAGAACTGGGCCAAAACAAACAAGATGAACTTTAACAGGGAGAAATGTAAAGTATTGCACTTGGGCAAAAAAATGAGAGGCACAAATACAAGATGGGGGACACCTGGCTTGAGAGCAGTACATGTGAAAAGGATCTAGGAGTCTTGGTTGACCACAAACTTGACATGAGCCAACAGTGTGACGCGGCAGCTAAAAAAGCCAATGCAATTCTGGGCTGCATCAATAGGAGTATATAGCATCTAGATCAAGGGAAGTAATAGTGCCACTGTATTCTGCTCTGGTCAAACCTCATCTGGAGTACTGTGTCCAGTTCTGGGCACCACAGTTCAAGAAGGACACTGACAAACTGGAACGTGTCCAGAGGAGGGCAACCAAAATGGTCAAAGGCCTGGAAACGATGCCTTATGAGGAGCGGCTAAGGGAGCTGGGCATGTTTAGCCTGGAGAAGAGGAGGTTAAGGGGTGATATGATAGCCATGTTCAAATATATAAAAGGATGTCACATAGAGGAGGGAGAAAGGTTTTTTTCTGCTGCTCCAGAGAAGTGGACACGGAGCAATGGATCCAAACTACAAGAAAGAAGATTCCACCTAAACATTAGGAGAACTTCCTGACAGTAAGAGCTGTTCGACAGTGGAATTTGCTGCCAAGGAGTGTGGTGGAGTCTCCTGCTTTGGAGGTCTTTAAGCAGAGGCTTGACAACCATATGTCAGGAGTGCTCTGATGGTGTTTCCTGCTTGGCAGGGGGTTGGACTCGATGGCCCTTGTGGTCTCTTCCAACTCTATCATTCTATGATTCTCTCTCTCTCTCTTTGTGTGTTTGAATCTAGAGGACAACATACATGTTTACACCACGTAAATACATAAAGAGGGCACGGCTGCCTACAATCAGCTACAAAAACTGAGTCCTCTTTATACTGAAAATAAAATATCTGCAGTGAATGAAATGTGATGCTGACATACGAAGCACTTTGTATTTATCCCTTCCTGTAATTTGGGAGGAAAATGTAGCCAATTCACTTTAAATTCTTTATTTGCAATGGTTCAGCAGCCAGCAATTTTTGAAGGAATCTTGTGGAGTATTTCTTCTTTTATTTTATTCTTTAGAGCCTTAAACTGCAAGTCTTTACTACTCAGAAATCCCAATGAATTCAATGCAGCTTACTCCGAGATAACTGTGTAAAGATTCTGCAGTCTTATACTGCAATTTTAGGTGTTTTTTCTCAGAAATAAGTCCCACTCAGTTCAATAGGACTTACTCTCTGGTATGTGCCTGATCATTATCACAGTTTCCATGATTTTATTTTTATTTCTATTACATACAGTCATGATATTTCTCAGAATCCCTCAGATGATCTACTACACTCTGAAAAGATCTACTTAAGATTGAGTGAAAGCCAGATACACACAGAGACAATTTTACTATTTGGAGAGACTATTTCTCTTTTCCAGCCTCTTTCAAACTACTTTTTATGCCCTTTATGAACAAATGTGTCCCCCATGTACCCAAAGTCAGCCCAGTTTCCCCAGTGGTCAGGATGGGCATTCCACAAACAGGGAACTGCTCCTCCCTGGGGGTTCCTGGGATGCCCCTCCCCTTCCCAGGGCACTTTCCATCCTTCTGTCTCATTTCTTAGTTCTGGTAATCTCAGGAGTTTCTCCCTCCTTTGTTTCCTACCAAACAAGGTTCTCTCCTTGCTGTGGTGAAGGAGCTTGAACAACTAGAGAAGCTATGAACTATACCGAGCAGGGCACCCAAGATGGACAGGTCATAGTGGAGAGTTTTGACCAAACGTGATCCACCTGGAGCAGGAACCGGCAAGCCACTCCAGTATCTGCCAAGAAAACTCCATGAACAAATACAACAGGCATATAAAAGTTATGACGCTGGAAGATGAGCCCCTCAGGTCAGAAGGCGTCCAACACGCTACTGAGGAAGAGCGGAGGACAAGTACAAGTAGATTCAGAGCTGATGAAGCGGCTGGCAAAGCTGAAAGGACGCTCAGTTGTGGATATGCCTGGAAGCGAAAGGAAAGTCCAATGCTGTAAAGAAAAATATTGCATAGGAACCTGGAATGTAAGAACCATGAACCTTGGTAAGTTGGATGTGGTCAAAAATGAGATGGCAAGAATAAATATTGACATCCTGGGCATCAGTGAGCTAAAATGGACGGGAATGGGCGAATTCAGTTCGGATGACCATCATCTCTACTACTGTGGGCAAGAATCCCGTAAAAGAAATGGAGTGGCCCTCATAGTCAACAAAAGAGGCAAAAGCTGTACTGGGATGCAATCTCAAAAATGATAGAATGATCTCGATACGAATCCAAGGCAGACCTTTTAACATCACAGTAATCCAAGTTTATGAACCAACCACTGGTGCTGAAGAAACTGAAATTGACCAATTCTATGAAGACTTACAACACCTTATACAAATGACACCAAAGAAGGATGTTCTTCTCATTATAGGGGATTGGAATGCTAAAGTAGGGAGTCAAGAGATAAAAGGAACAACTGGCAAGTTTGGCCTTGGAGTTCAAAACGATGCAGGGCAAAGGCTAATAGAGTTCTGTCAAGAGAACAAACTGGTCATCACAAACACTTTTTTCCAACAGCACAAGAGAGGACTCTACACATGGACATCACCAGATAGGCAGCATCGAAATCAGATTGATTATATTTTCTGCAGCCAAAGATGGAGAAGCTCTATACAGTCAGCAAAAACAAGACCCGGAGCTGACTGTGGCTCAGATCATCAGCTTCTTATAGCAAAATTCAAGCTTAAACTGAAGAAAGTAGGAAAAACCACTGGGCCAGTAAGATACAATCGAAGTCAAATCCCTTATGAATACACAGTGGAAGTGAGGAACAGGTTTAAGGATTTAGATTTGGTGTACAGAGTGCCTGAAGAACTATGGATGGAGGCTCGTAACATTATACAGGAGGCAACAACGAAACCATCCAATGAAAAGGAAATGCAAGAAAGCAAAGTGGCTGTCCAACGAGGCCTTACAAATAGCGGGGGACAGAAGGCAAGCAAAATGTGAGGGAAATAGTGAAAGATACGGGAAATTGAATGCAGATTTTCAAAGAATAGCACGGAGAGACAAAAGGGCCTTCTTAAACAAGCAATGCAAAGAAATACAGTGGTGCCTCGCAAGACGAAATTAATTCGTTCTGCGAGTCTTTCCGTCTTGCGAGTTTTTCATCTTGCGAAGCACGGTCAAGTCGCAACTGCACCTCTTCAAGCAGTTTTAAGAAAAAGGAAACAAACTCGCAAGACGTTTTCGTCTTGCAAAGCAAGCCATAGGGAAATTCATTTTGCGAAGCAACTCAAAAAACGAAAACTCTTTCGTCTTGCGAGTTTTTTGTCTTCCGAGGCATTCGTCTTGCGAGGTACCACTGTAGAGGCAAACAGTAGAATGGGGAAAACCAGAGATCTGTTCAAGAAAATTGGAGATATGAAAGGAACATTTCGTACAAAGATGACCATACTAAAGGACAAAAGGGTAAAGGACCTAACAGAAGCAGAAGACATCAAGAAAGGTGGCAAGAATACACAGAGGAATTCTACCAGAAAGATATGGATGTCTCATACAAGCCAGGTAGTGTGGTTGAGCCACACATCGTGGAGAGTGGTCAAATGGTCCTTAGAAAGCACTGCTAATAACCAGTGAAAGTGACAATATTCCAGCTGAACTATTTAAAATTTTAAAAGATGATGCTGTTAAGGTGCTACACTCAATATGCCAGCAAATTTGGAAAACTCAGCAGTGGCCAGAGATTGGAGAAGATCAGTCTACATCCCAATCCCAAAGAAGGGCAGTGCCAAAGAATGCTCCAACTACCGCACAATTGCACTCATTTCACACGCTAGCAAGGTTATGCTTAAAATTCTACAAGGAAGGCTCAAGCAGTATGTGGACCAGAACTCCCAGAAGTGCAAGCTGGATTTAGAAGAGGCAGAGGAACCAGAGACCAAATTGCAAACATGCGCTGGATTATGGAGAAAGCTAGAGAGTTCCAGAAAGACATCTACTTCTGCTTCATTGACTATGCAAAAGCCTTTGACTGTGTCGACCACAGCAAACTATGGCAAGTTCTTAAAGAAATGGGAGTGCCTGATCACCTCATCTGTCTCCTGAGAAATCTCTATGTGGGACAAGAAGCTACAGTTAGAACTGGATATGGAACAACTGATTGGTTCAAAATTGGGAAAGGAGTACGACAAGGCTGTATTTGTCTCCCTGCTTATTTAACTTATATGCAGAATTCATCATGCGAAAGGCTGGGCTGGATGAATCCCAAGCCAATTAAGATTGCCGGAAGAAATATCAACAACCTCAGATATGCAGATGACACAACCTTGATGGCAGAAAGTGAGGAGGAATTAAAGAACCTTTTAATGAGGGTGAAAGAGGAGAGCAAAATATGGTCTGAAGCTCAACATCAAAAAAACGAAGATCATGGCCACTGGTCCCATCACCTCCTGGCAAATAGAAGGGGAAGAAATGGAGGCAGTGAGAGATTTTACTTTCTTGGGCTCCATGATCACTGCAGATGGTGACAGCACACGAAATTAAAAGACGCCTGCTCCTTGGGAGAAAGCAATGACAAACCTAGACAGCATCTTAAAAGTAGAGACATCACCTTGCCAACAAAGGTCCGTATAGTTAAAGCCATGGTTTTCCCAGTAGTGATGTATGGAAGTGAGAGCTGGACCATAAGAAGGCTGATCGCCGAAGAATTGATGCTTTTGAATTCTGGTGCTGGAGGAGACTCTTGAGAGTCCCATGGACTGCAAGAAGACCAACCTATCCATTCTGAAGGAAATCAGCCCCTGAGTGCTCCACTGGGAAGGACAGATCGCTGAAAGCTGAGGCTCCAATACTTTGGCCACCTCATGAGAAGAGAAGACTCCCTGGAAAAGACCCTGATGTTGGGGAAGATGGAGGGCCCAAGAGAAGAGGACGACAGAGGACGAGATGGTGGACAGTGTTCTCAAAGCTACCAGCATGAGTTTGTCCAAACTGCGGGAGGCAGTGAAGACAGGAGGGCCTGGCGTGCTCTGGTCCATGGGGTCAGAAGAGTCAGACATGACTAAACGACTAAACAACAACAAAACAACAAAAAACACGATGCTATTCAGAATTCACTATACAGCATTCTTAACTTACAGTACAATGGTCTACTCAGTTATTCCCAAACTGGGCCTTGAAGCTCTCTGGGCATCCCTGGGCAGCCCCTGACCCTCAGCACAGCCTCCCTTACAGGGGTGTTGTGAGGATGGAATGAGGAGCTTTTGATTGTGTTGGGAGCTGCCCAGGGTGGCTTGGGAAATCTTATTTATATTTGTAAATATTTATAAATATTATTTATTATGACTATGGTTATTAATAATAATACTGCAGTTTTGTGTTGCAAACTGCCCTGAGACCTATGGGTTTAGGGTGGGATGCAAATATAAACAATAATAAATAAACTAAGATAAACACCCTCCACATTTCAATACACGAAATAGTTTATGATGCTTCCAGCGACCACAGAAACTCCTCCTGCCTCTGCCTCTGGAGTGGGGCATCAGGAAAGGCCCCTCTTCCTCTCTGAAAAGCGGGAGGGTGGGGGGCCGAGGAGGGGCAGCAGCGACAGGGGCAGGGAGGGGAGAAAGTCCCTGGTCCACCCCACACACCCCATTTTGGGTTCTTCGGGGGCCCCGTTTTCCATGACGCCCCCCCCCGATTCTGGACTCACCGTGCCGGGCCTGGGAGAGGGGCTCGAAGATCCCGTAGTTGTGCTGGCAGAAGCGATCCACGGCGGCCTTCCTGCTCCGCAGGAAGTTCTTGTCCTGGTTCGCTCTCTCGACGTCGGGCTCCCCCAGTTCAGCCACAGCCACGAACTTCCCTCGGTCGCTGTCGAAGTAGAGGAGCTCCTGCCGGTCGAAGAAATACCTATCTAGGAAGCGGATCCGCTGCGTCCCGTTGGAGAAGTGGCACTCCTGCCTCAGCTGGAACAGGAAATGCTCTGCGGGAGGAGGGAGAAAGAAAAAGGGGGTATCACGGAGGGTCAGCTGGAGGCAGGGAGCGAGAACTTCTGGGGGTGGGCGGCAGAGACATTCTCTCTCTCTCTCTCTCTCTCTCTCTCTCGTGTCTCATGATCCCATGGGGAAGGGAGGCTGAGCAGGGGGGAGGGAGGAGCAGGAAAGGAGAGGGAGAGAGCGGCTGTAAGGCCGGGGGGGGGGAGGTGGAGGCCCCAGACCCCATGGGCATAGCCAGGATTTTGTTGGGAAACTGCCAGGGAGATAACGTCCATCATGGCCCCCAAGCCGGAGTTCGGAGATTCCATAGGCCTCCCGTAGTCACGCAGATCCAACAGTTAGGGGCACAAAGCCTTAGAAATTCCTAGCCAGGCTGCATTCCTAGGCTGGTGCACCCTCTTTCAGCAGAAAGCACAGTCAAAAGCTTGCACCGCAGAAGAGCAGTAGAGCATATTTACAGACTTTATTTAGCGTTGAACAGAACAAAAGAAAACACATCCGTTCTGAGTCAGCGTCTCTGACCGACTGAAAACGAAAGGAAATCAGCAAACATAAACATCCTGTGAACAGGACATGCGCAGACTCTGTGACTCAAAGCCTGCTCCCTTTTAAGGTGGAACTGGAAATATATCCTAACATCCTCCCCCTTTCCGTGTAACCTGTAGTACCTGTGGTTCAACCCAGTTGCAACCTCTGTACATAAACCTTAAGTTGTTCTCTGTTAACAACCTTAGACAACAGATCTGCAGGATTTTCATTTTCCTGGCATGTAGGACACCTGAATGAGTCCTTTCTGAATACACTCTCTTGCATGATGTAACTTAATCTGCAAGTATTTGGTTCTTTGCTTGCAACTCTCTGAGTTCAGCAAAGCCAAACAGGATCTGTTGTCTGGATACACCTGTTATAGGACATTTCACAGAAACCTGATGTCCTGAAACAGTTGCATCAAACCATTCCACAATCCATAAGTGAAAATGACAGGGCATTGAGTTCTGCTTCACAGGAACTTAGGCTTCCTGTAGTTTGCTTTTTGCACAGCCAGTCAAACAGACAGTGGTTGTACATGTAGCATACTCCAGAAGTGCTGGTACCATCCGTGGTGTCACTTTCCAAAACTAGTGTCTGCAAAGACTTCAAGACCTCCAGTCTTGTGAACCTTAGTCTTTTGTGCAAAGTCCCCTTCAAATAGCAGGCTATGCACTTCAAAGCTTTCCAATCCTGAACAGTAGGATTGTTGGCATATCTGCTAACCAGGTTAGTGCTTACAGCTACGCCAGGTTTTGAACATCTAGCAATGAAATTCAGCTTGCCTAGAATGCATCTGTACAGTGTGGTGTCAGAAAATGCTTCAGCAGTACTATCTACCTGGTAATCTGTCACCATCTGTGTGTCTGCTGGGTTTGCATCAACCAAATTCAGCCTGGTTAATACATCAGCAATTTTCTGTTTGGTGTACCAGAAAATTACCTGCCTGGTCCTTCTCTACCTGCAAAGAAAGATAGTTTGATACCTCACTAAGACCCTTCATGTTAAAGTGCACCTTCAGGTGAGCTAGGGTGCTTTGGTACAAAGCCTGATCCTTCCAGAAAAGAAGCAGATCATCAACAAAGTGTAAACAATACAATTTGTTTTGCCCCTCCTCTTTGACAAACACACATGGATCAGCTTTGCCTTGGTGAAAACCTAGAGAAAGCAATGTCTCAGTGAGTTTTGTGTTCCAACACCTGGCACTCTGCTTGAGACCATATAGGGATTTCCGTAGTTTACAGACCATTCCCTTCTGTACCTGCATTCCATCAGGTGGAAGCATGTACAGCTCCTCCTCCAAAGTCCCGTACAAAAATGCTGTGTTCACATTGTGATAAGAAATGTGAAGCTTCTCCTCTGCAGCAATCTTGAGCATTAGCCTAATGCTCTCATACTTGACGGTGGGTGAGTAGGTCTCATGGTAATCCTGTCCTGGTACCTGTGAAAAACCTCTAGTGACCAATCTGGCTTTGTGCCTGACAACCTTGCCAGTCTGGTCTGCCTTGGCCTTGAAGACCCATTTGCTGCCAACCAGCCTCATTCCTGGGACTATTGGCACCAGCTCCCAGGTTTGGTTCCTATTCAAGGAATCAACTTCGGCCTTCATGGCATTAAGCCATGGTTCAGCATCTTTAGAGGTTAATTCCTGCACCACTTTGAACCTTGATGGTTCCCACACCTTCTCTGAGCTACTAAGAACAGCAGTTGCTGTCTTAGCGAACTCATCAAGTGATTTGCTGATATACTCTGAGAGCCTGGAGCAGCACGTATGGCACGTGATAGAGGTGCTTCCTCAAAACAGAACTACACCATATGGGAAAAGGAGTTGTTGGCTATCAAAGATGCCTTTGAGACTTGTAGACACTTTCTAGAAGGGGTGCAACATCAAGTAGAGGTCTGCACTAATCACAGGAATCTGGAGTATTGGCAGACGACGAAACACCTAAATCAACGGCAGATTCATTGGGCACAATTTTTTGCCAGGTTTGACTTTTGAGTACAGTATGTGGCAGGTAATCAGAAACAACGGGCAGACGCTCTCTCAAGGAAGCCGGTGTACCAGGAGGAGCCAGTTCCAGTGTACCAGCACATCCTAAAGCCAGAGCAACTACAGCTAGCAGCTGGTTCAGTCACCAAAGCTTCCATGTTCTGAAGGAAAACACGGGAGGATGCTTTTGCAAAGGGGAAGTTAGAGACACTGCAAAGGAATGCAGGCGGAGTGGAGGGGTTTGAGGGAAAGGATGGACTATTGTATAAAGGATATTGTATAAAGGATTGTATAAACACTACGTTCTAGAGGAAGAGTTGAGAGCTAAAGTCCTACGTCAGTGCCGTAACAACCCTACAGCAGGGCACATTGGGAAACATAAGATGCTATACCAATGACTAGGCAGTTCTGATAGCCAAGAATGAGAGAAGTCAAGGAGTTTGTGCGAGCCTGTGAGACTTGCCAGTGGGTGAAGAGACCCAGGGAAGCGCCTGCAGGTCTGCTCCAACCCGTCCCTACACCGCAAGGGCCTTGAGAAGACATAGCCCTGGACTTTATTACCAATTTACCAGAGTCCACAGTGACAAACAGTGATCTGGGTAGTAGTAGACCTGTTCACGAAGATGGTGCACTTCATACCTTGTAGGAGTCTACCAATGGCGCAGGAGATGGCTCAGCTCTTTGTAGACCATGTCTTTAAGTTGCACGGACTCCCCCTTAGGGTAATGTCAGATATGGAGACCCAATTCACCTGGCAGTTCTGGAAGAAACTCATGCAGCTGCTCAAGTAGAAGTGTGTCTCTCTTCAGCTAGGCACCCAGAGACGAACGGTAAATCAGAGAGGACCAGTGCCACGTTGCAGCAGTACCTTAGGAGTTATGTGAACTATCAGCAAGATGATTGGGTGGTCAAAGTTGTCACTGGTGGAGTTCATGTATAATAATGCCCTTCATGCATCTACGCAGCAGACCCCCTTCTTTGCCATTCAGGGGCGACACCCACGTACCTTTACTTCACAGGTAGACAACCTGTCAGTACCAGCAGCGGAAGAGTTCGTTGAAGAAATGGCCACTATTCAGAGTTTGCTGAAAGAATGGTTGGACTTGGCCAAAGAGGCATACAAAAGGGTGGCAGATGCCCACAGACAACCAGGTAGTGAGATAAAAGTGGGGGACCAGGTGTGGCTGTATACACAAGATTTGCCCCAGAAAAGTAGATGCAGAAAATTGGATCCACAGAGGGTGGGGCCATTTGAAGTAATAGAGCAGATGAATCCCGTAACGTTCAGACTTAAGTTACCAGCCTCCGTTAAAATATACCCTGTATTCCATAGAGCTGTGTTATCCCCAGTGATCCCTGCACACCCCTACCAGACTCCTAGGGAAGCACCCCCTCCTCCTGTAGTTGTAGAGGGAAAGGGGGTGTTCGAAGTGGAGCAGATGCTGAATTTACGATGGAGGCAGAAGAAGCTGCCATATCTCATAGCATGGAAGGGGTATGGGCCTGAAGATAGGCCATGGGAATATGCAGAGCACGTTCATACCCCAGAGTTACAAAGGGAATTTCACAGTAGCCATCCCAACAAACCTAAACCAAGAGGGTGGAGGGAATACGAGGAAGAGGAGGAGAGTTCTGGAGAGGGGGGTGATGTCAGGGGTTGGTCAGAATCAGATGCCAGAGACTGCTCTGTCTGCATTTCTTCATCTTCAGAGTCAGAGCCTATGAGCTATGTGCTGCCAGTGTATCTCACACCTGTCTATTCCAAGGTTGCATTTATACTCACACCCCTCACGGACCAGCTGCAGTGCCAAGAGGCTTCCAGAACCGTTTGTGTCTCTCCCCTAAGGTAGGATCCTGCCAGCCAGCAGAGGATCAGAAAAGCCCTGGGGGCTGAGAGGGCCCAGGGTGTGCGCTGCTACCATGAAGCTTCCATCAGAGGCCTAGAAAAGGCCCAGGATGTTCATTGTTCAGGCCCAGGTAAGGCAGTGCTTGGCTAGGAGGATCCAATAAGCATTTATTTAAAGAACTCACCCCGGGTGGGGGTGGCAGAGAAGAGGAGGAGGTTGGTTATTGCATTTGCTGCCTGTTCCCCAAGGAGCTGAGGAGAGGCAAAGGTTATGGTGCTGTTTACACTCAGTGACATTTCTGTGAACGACTGTTAATGAGCAATTTTCCTTTGGCCTGTATTTCTCACCTCCCCATCTCCCCTACCAAGGGCTTTAAGCATGATCCACTCCCAGAAGGCATGCAAAGGGTGGCCCAAATGCAGTTAGCTGTGGTCTGCAGAATGATGTACCTGGCATAAGGAGAGCCCTGCTCCTCTTCCCCTCTTCTTCCAGCCCAAAGCAGGACCCGAGTTCAAGAGCACTGCCCTCCTGCGGTTCCCAGTAACTGGCATTCAGAAATATAGCTGCCTCCAGCTGTGGAAGCAGAGCAAAGCCATCCTGGCCAGTAGCCCTCAAGAGCCTCCTCCATGAATTTGCCTCTTCTAAAGCCATCTGGGCAGGTGGCCATCTCCGCTTCCTGTGGGAGTGAGTGCCATGGCTTAACTATAACTATAAACATTAGGAAGAACTTCCTGACAGTAAGAGCTGTTCGACAGTGGAATTTGCTGCCAAGGAGTGTGGTGGAGTCTCCTTCTTTGGAGGTCTTTAAGCAGAGGCTTGACAACCATATGTCAGGAGTGCTCTGATGGTGTTTCCTGCTTGGCAGGGGGTTGGACTCGATGGCCCTTGTGGTCTCTTCCAACTCTATGATTCTATGAGCTGCATGAAGAAGTCCTTTCTTTTGTCTGTCCTGAACCTTCCAAAATTCAGCTTCATTGTTTTCCTCACAACTCTAGAACTTGTAGACATACAAGGAAGCACAAAGAAAAAGACAAATCCCTACCCATGAACAGCTTATGTTTTTGAGAAGCCCTGTGGGTTGGGCGAAGGTGGGTCTATCCAGACCTGCATCCTGTTTCCAACTGCAGCCAGCCAGTGTCATGGGCTAGGAGTCAACTTTGCCTGCTGAACAGCAGCCTGAAAGGGGGAGAAGGAAGAGTGACTCCACCTGCAGCTGATTAGCCTTCAAGGACGCAGAGGAGAAGGCACTGATCAGAACCAACTGACTTCAGCCTTTTTAAGCAGAGCTTCCAGCAGCAGTCAGATGCTGAAAACAATGCTGGTAGTTCCTGGCCCAACCTTACTGCTTCCTGCTCGTCGTGACCCATGACCATTGGATTCTCTGACCTCTGGACTGTCTTGACCATGTGGATTGCTATTCGCCTGACCCTAGGACTGGTCCTGCCTTTGGATACTGACTCTGCCTCCACCAGTACACCTCAAAGGTTCTTCTGGTTGGCTGGCCTCCCACTCCACGAGCTCTGCTTGTTGTTGCTCAGCAGGAAACTACGACCAACAGATGCTTCCAGGAAGCCCACCAGCAAGGCACAAAGAAGACTACCCTCATCCATTCTTTGTCTTTAGCACCTGCTACATTGAGGTAGACTGCTCTTGAAAATGGTGGGTCCGGATGGTTTTCATGACGCCTAGTTGCTGACACCTAGTAGCTCTCTCTCTCTCTCCGCCCCAAGAATGTTCTCCCAGACCTTTTAATATCTGTGGCTTTGGAGCATTTAGATTCCTTGAACTTGTTTCCCCCCTCAGTGCTGCTTTAATTGGTTCCGATTCCATGATGGCTTCATGGTGGTTTTGTGCTTGGCTTCTGCAGGGCTGTTGCTGTTCTTAGGTTATTCTTTGATTGTTTTCCTTTGTCTTTTATTAATTTAGATTTGTAAACTGCCCAGAGAAAAAAGAGCAGGCAGCTATTCATCGGGTGGTCAACATAATAATTCAGAAATGAATAAGTAGATGTCACTCTAGGATGGATGGTTCCATTTAAAGAGCAAGAGACCTTTGCCTCATGCAGTTTGGGGTCACAGAGCTGGAGGATCAATCATCATAGACCAGGTGATATAACTAGGTAGAGTAAAGCTTTCAGATGCAAAGGTGGCAGAGGGATCTGTGCCCCCAACAATTGCTGCTGCTGCCGCTTCTGAGTCCAGCAAGTTCAAACAGTCGTCAGTTTCAGCATTTGGGGTGTTTTGTAGCAGAAAAACTCAGCACAATGGTCTTCCCTTTTTTGACAAATGAAGGGGGGCTAAAACTTAACACAGCTCCCAGTGGGATGGAATTAAATCAGTTCTATTTCCATCCCCTTTAAAATCAAAGTTTTCATTTTAGTAAATGAAAACTCTCTGGCTCCTGGTCAAAGTACATTTGTAATCACACAATTATCATTTTGCTAAATTAATTAGGGAAGCACAGGGTTTTTATTTTATTTTTAAAAATTTGTGCAGCTCCCCAGGATCTGCCAGCCTTTTGCCTCTTCCCCAGCCACTACTCAGGCAGTGCAAAATCAGTGGGATAATTGGATGTTTCCATGTTTCCACAAAAGCATCAATGTGTGAGGAGGACCGAGTTGCCCAAAGTTTGTACTGAACTGTGCTGCGTAGCTTTGTTAATTAGATGTCTCTCTCTTCCTCCACTCCTCCCTGTGCAGGCATAGCTGAAATGTACAAAAATTGTTGTCAACAAAAATTGTCAAGGTCATCTCTTGACCTTCAAAGCTCCCTT